TGATTTAAAGGGTCATGAAACCCCAGACTACTTTTTCTGAGATTTTAGCAGAGGTGTTTGTGTTGCACATTATAGCAGATAATGTTAGCATCTGCTAATTTTAACTGTTTGAGAAAACTGGTTAATTTTAAGCTTTTTTTGTGCTATTTTCATCTTCCGGGTTTAAAATCTACATCGTGTTGACGACATGGCAATGGACTATAGTACATCGATGACACGTCGGTGTCTATTACATTATTCATGAGACTGCGTGTTCTTATCCAATGAGAAGACGCTTTGCTTAATTATTCAGCCAGCCTTGTACTCTTCTAGGTTCAAAAAACTGTCGTCCATAAAATACGTTGCACAAATTCGAACATCTGGGTTGTGCTGTTCTGTTGTAAATAAATCTTAACCAATGATTCCTAATTGCATCTACTTTCGGAAGGCCAAATAAAGTGCTTTTGCTTTCGCACTGAAACACACACCGTCTCCCTGACATGGCTGCATCAACACTACTGCGTTCCTGAAACCACGCCTTCTTTCTTTGCATGAACATTTGGGCGGCATTATGCTAATATTGCCACATATTGACGTAGATATGTGGGGGCGTGTTAAAACGAGCCGTTTTAGGTAGGCGTGGCTGACTCTTAACTTTTATAAAGAATATCTCTTTGGATTTGAGACTTTAGTCTTTGCAACTTTACAGATCTTCTTTATGCACCGAGAGCTTGTAACACTCCAAAGAGAAAGGAAAACTTGAAATCGCATCATATGACCCCTTTAACTGAGAGAAACGTTCACGGATCGAAGGAAGGAGAGCGTTTGTTTTTGCTTTGTAATAAGAGTTCGGCACAAATGCGATTCATTCACTAGTGAGTGTAACCGTTTTTACAGCTCCGTGACACAAGCCGTCAAAAGGCTAATATAAATGCCGCAGAATAATCCTAAAAATGATCAGAGGTGCAACAGCGCGTTCATATATATGTTTTCGATGCAGAGTGCAAATGGCTGTGCATTTATTTGTGTTTTTAACTCGATGGGAGCGAAATGAAACTGTCTGAACCCGAAGCTGTGTGTATTGTCTGTCTCCCCTCTTCCTCCTCCGCTGCGTACCACACCCACTTTTTTAGCATTTTTTAAAACTGTAGTGAGAACTATCCAGTGCTGAAACAGGGGGTTTCATGACCCTTTAACTCGTCAGCTCATTAATAGAGACTTTAAGACCTAAAGTGAGTCAGAAAAGTTAAAAAGAGTTGAGAGAAAATATGATGCATGCCAGATCTGCGTCATGTTCAGCAGCGGCAGCTCTTAAAGAAATAGCAGCCAAAACAACCTAATAACCAGCTGCTGTGATGTCTATTAATCAAAGGACAAAGAAAAAAAGAGGAAAAAATAACTTTTATAGTTTTAAGGATTCATCTATATTTAATTTAGAATTTAGTGTTTGATAACTTCAATTTCAATTTCTGTATATTTCTGCTGAAGGTCGCAGGTAAATATGACATTTATTATAATGGGTTTATGTGAAGATTGTTTTAAGTTCACTTAAATTAGCAGTTATTTTTTTAAGTCTAATAAATGTT